CGGCGCTCTGCCCACGGCGCCTCCTCCGCTTCAGCCCGTGCCGTGGCCTGGCAGCTCCGTCGTGGCCATGCATCTCCTCACTCCCAACAGCAGCAGCGCCGCCACCCTTTTCCCCGCTCCACTCGCCACTGCTCTGGTGCCGGACACCGCACGCGAAGGCAAGCCCATGCCGTGTTGCTGTGCCCGGCTCCTGGTCTACTCACCGGTGACGTGGACCTTGCTGCGCCATGGCCATGCCAACCCCTTGGTCCCACGCAGGAGCCGCCGTCCTAGCTCCGCAGCCGTAGCACCTCCGTGTGAGCTCCACGCTGCGCCTGGAGCACCGTCCGCGCTCAAAGCCCACGTTGCTACTTCGCCTCCGTGTGCGTCGTTGCCGCCTCGAGCTCCCGCGGCTGCCGCAGCTGAGCGCCAGGCTGACGTGCCCCGTCCATGCGCCTGCGCCCCCTGTCCTCGCCGTTCCATCCGTTGCCCCGCACCATGCCGCGCAACCGCCATGGCCGCCCGTAGCTCCGAGCTGTCGATGTCGCCCCTAGTGCTCTGCTTGTGTGAAGAGAAGGTAGAGGAGGGTAAGAATCCAAGCTGTGATATTATACGGGGTCCTTTTTGCTAAATACCTAACTCAAGTAAATAGTGCCAATGTCCTGCAGGTTAAATTCGAGAAAACGCGAGGTCCGTTTTGCATATATGCCGCGCCACCAGCCGACTAGGCCGGCCTGCTGCCGTTGTGCTTAAGCCAGGCCGTCTTGGCTGGGCCGCTTGGTTGGAGGGCCACGCGTGCCCCTGTGGGCCGCGCCGCTCTGCTGGGCCGTGCGCGCTACGCCGCGCCTAGGCCACTGCCCCGTGTGCCGCTGCTGGGCCACTAGCGCCCCACCGCGTGCTGGGTCGCGTTCGTCCGCGCGCGTTGGGCCGGCTGTGCCACCCGCGCTTGCTGCCGCCGCGCCTGGGCCAGGCGTGCTCGGATTTTCGAGTTGGGCCGAATAGACAGCCGCTGGCCCTTTTCGTTATATAGACACTTTCTAATTAAGTCTCGGAAATAAACTTGTAAAATCGATACAAAATGATATAGGAGACCAAAAATTATGAAACCAGTTTTGTTAAGTTTCTAAGATCATGACCTACCTACTAGTGTAATTTGTTCACATAGTGGGATAATAATCTTAGGAGCTATATAGTTAATTTGGAATACTTAATATTGTGAAAAGATAACTTGCAGGAATTGTTCTAATAAATTGGCAATAGTGTTAAATCTGAAATTTGTATAGTAGGCTCCTAGCAATATTAGTTACTCACCGTAATTTTTGTAGCTCCGGAATAACTAGTTGCTGATTAGATAAGGATGTCCTATTGCGAATAAGGATTAAATCGATAAAATAAAATACAGAAACACCTTGGTTTATATAACTAAAATAATTGTTCAGAAATAACGCCTTATCCGATAACGTGTATATGTAGCCTAAGTACGGTCGTCATTAGAACTAGCCCGTTAACTCGAGTGGCATACGTCGTATTTTACGAGTCACGATTGAAGTTGATTAATTATATCTTTACATTGCATCGCGTGCATATCATATAGGTACGATGATGGATCAACGGATCGATCGAAGGATGATTGGGAATCCGAAGATGGTGTAATGATATTCTCTCCAGGAGATGATGCAATGGGCTTTCTATCCAGATGATTGTGGTTGATCTGAAGATGTAGATACTAACTTTTAATATATCTTATCGAGGCAAGCCCTGGTGCATAACCTCTACTTTTCTGCAGTTTAAATTATATTTGTGCATTAAGTCTTAAGGAGTTGAATGAAACCCACTTGCATATATATCTTTATCCTATGAGTCTTACTAGTATAACAGGATCGTGTAGAATGCTATGCTACATGACTTCGGTAGAAGTCGAGTGATTGCCTGTCACTCGCGAGAGATAGGAAATATATTACTATCACTTGGAAAATATAATTGATGGAAAAGAAAAATGGTGACCGGATAGAGATATGGTTTGGGTATTGTTTTGTGTAAGAGGTTGTGTCGCCGTGGACACGGGGCATGGCTTGGTTATACTGCTTTCCCTGTCTAGTCGGTTAAGGACCGATCATTGCATAAGGTATCTAGGCAAGTCACAGACTTATTATCCTGAGCACATACTTGGGTATGGGCGCTTAGAAGACTTGTTGCTCATTTGTCACGGATCCAGCTCTTTTTCGGACCGACTGTTAGGGTTTTATTTTGGTGGAGGAGGTCCTTGCACCGTACTGAGTCCGAGACTCAGGGGCGGGGGCTTGGAGTCCCAGTTTGGACGGGGACCTGGACACCCGGGATAGGAGAGTGATGGGTTGGTCCTGCTTGTGCCTAGGGTACAAGCGGGGCGTGTGTTTTCAGGGTACCCAGCTGGGGGCATTGATTCGCGAATCGTCGGGTGATCTGGTACGGCTTGTCTCGTATTTAGCATTGTAGTAAGAACTAAAAGATAAAAGATGGAATGAAAAAGGAAATATGATTGCTTACCACCTGCTTGAAAGTAGCACAGGTGCTTACATAGAATGGTTAGTTAATTAACTAATGTGGCTATTAATAAAAATCGAATATTATGACGCACGCTTAGTAATGCTTTCTGCAAATGCAATAAACCCACAAGCCAAATAGCCTTGCATATCCTTAGAGTCTTTTCTTTTCTCTTGTCGGGTAAGTCTTGCTGAGTACAATTGAGTACTCAGGGTTTTATTCCCCTGTTGCATATGACAGGTGGAGGCTAAAGCTGATCTTTGTGTGTGGATTTCTCCTGGTGGGCTCAGCGAGGATTTCCTTTACGCTGCGATCGTAGTTGTTATTTATAACTCTCACCAAATGCTTTTATAAACGAAAGTTTCATAATCTGTTGTCGTAGTTTATAAATCAATACTTTATAATGTCATTAATAGATGTTTATTTCCGTTGTAACTATGTTCACATGTTTATATTTCGCTGTTCAATTAAATTGTTTATAACTCTGATAATATGATTTTATTCCACTATTATGTTAGTAATTATTATACTCTGATGTTGTATTAAAAGTGATGTAAGAAATGGTTTAAAATGATGTAAGCTTTATTCTCTTATTTGTGATCATGATGGCAAAAATGTGGATTTTCGGGTTCTTCCTTGGGGTGTGCCCGACGGAACCGAGTAATTTAGTGTTCTCCCTCGAGTGCTTAGTGTCTAATGGAAGACGAGCACTCCTGTGAGGCATTAGATTAGGTGGTTCTGCCACAGACAGATAGTGAGGTCCGTTCAGATAAATACTCTAGGCACTTCTAGGATAGCGGACGACCCGGGCAGGGAGGATATGAACTTTTCTACAGCTCATGTCATATGCCATCAGTGTTCTGTCCTCCCCAACAAGAAAAATCAAATTCCATTCTAGGTGAACTACAATCACTCTGCAGTCCGCATTAGCAGCCTCAAAACCGAGTCGAATATTGTCCAGTCCAAATAGCTGCATCGTGTTCACCATATGCTTCAATGTCCATTTACTATTACCATATTCTTTAAGGATCCAGATTGAAAGGTCAGACCTATTGAAAATATCAGTAATACATAGACACAACTGACCCTAATCTCCATGGATGGACATTGAAGGACCTGGTGGCCTAAAAATTTTCCTCCATATCTTTCCCTCCATATCAACAGCAACTATCTAGGACACCTTCAGCATGTGCATAAAACCATCAAGAAACACAGTTCCTGAAAATTTACATACAAGAATATCCTCTCCTCATTTAGATTCTTTACACATCTATACTCCAGTTTTGGATGAGTAGATGCTGACAACTAACACTCCAGGTGACCTTACCCACAATTCTACCACATGGAAGTGCAAGGAGATTGTGGGATCGAACCCTAAGCGAGCTGAACCATAACAAAGGATAAGGGAAGTGCGAGAAAAAGCCAAAAACATAGATAAGGGGAATAAAAAGCCAAAAAACATGGATAAGGTAAGTGCGAGAAAACATTACTTTGCCTTTGGATCTTGCGGCAGTGAGCTCGAGCGGCCACGACGGTGATGAGTACCAGCCTGGTCATTGGTGGATCTATGCGGGCATGCCGGTGAGGCATACCGGCGTGGAGCACTAACTTGTCGGCGGTGAGTGGCGGTTTGCACGTCGATGAGTAGGTGAGGAATAGCAGCACTTGAGGAGGAGACGGACAGGGTGGCTGGGTGGGTAGCAGTCTTTATAAGCTAACTACAAAGTATGACTTGTGGGAATAGAAATGTCAGCTAAAATTTCTAGAAACATACGGAAGTCTCGCGCTAGCCTGCAAATTTTAACGATATCGACGGTGAGGGCTACTGACAGTGGTGATTGGGTCTTAAAAAAGATGGGACCTAGCACCTAGCGGCGATGATACTTTATATCTGACGGTGACTGAATTGTACAATGTTAATACTAATTCAGCTAGGTCTCAATAGCTTACTAAACACAACATACATTTTATGATAACAGTGGACACTAACGTGACAAAGTTTATCAGCTGACGTTGCATAATAAAGATACTGATCTCAAGTATAATGATTTTTGCTACATAGAATCCTTCAGCCTGTTCGGTTGGCTGGTTCGTTTCATTGCTGATTCGTGAAAAAGTACTGCTGGCTGATTTATGTGAGAGAAAAATACTATTACGGTTAAAAATTTACGATCGTTTACGACACGCCACAACCAAACGAACAAGCTGCTTATCTAAAATCCAGATTTCTAAAATCCCACCGGGATTCAGACGGCACCTATAGCACAGTTCGCCAGTTCGGCTCAGCAACCGCAACTGAAGGTGGTTGGGAATTTGGGATGGCGCTGGCTAGGGTTTCACCGTCTTCCTTAGCCGGTCATCGCTCCCCCCTGCTCCAATCCTTCTTCCGCCCTTTCTCCTCGGACTTTCCCCTCCGCAGTTCTCACCGAAGAAGCTCTCCCATTGCCGCCTTCTCCCTGGCTTTACAATCTGCCCACGCTGCGAGGGAGGGGCAGGTCATGGAGGCGCCCAGGCCGAGCTCCAGGCGTCTCTCCCTGGCTTCACAATCTGCCCACGCTGCGAGGGAGGGGCAGGTCATGGAGGCGCCCAGGCCGAGCTCCAGGCGTCCTTGGAAGCCCACGTGCTTGTACTACACCCAGGGCAAGTGCACAATGGTGAGATTGCTTCCCTCTTTGCAATGGTGGTCGCTTTTGGCCGTGTTGAAAACGGAGTGGTTCCTATCATATATCTTGGATTATATTAGTTTAGTGCAGATATATTCTACTGTTGACATTTAGATGCCTAATGTTAGCAAATAGAGCTAAGATGGATAGAAGTTGTTGCTGGGAGGAGAGTTAATATTAGTCGGGGGATCCTTCTTCCAAAGAAGCATTTGGGATTAGGGCCAAGTATTTTTAATTAACAATAGCACTAAATAACAGAATAGTGAGGAAATTCTGTTAAAAACAAATGAAGTGTAACTGTACGAGTTACACCCCAATTTTGTTTAAGTTGGTAATCGTAATGTGTTGAGCAGCATGTACGAATGCTGGAATTAGGTGTTGCTCTAATTTCAATCAGAGGCGCATAGGGTGCTAGCCAGGGAAGTATTCCTTGTCAATTTGAGTTGCTATTATAATGTGTTTTTGTATGATATAATAGTCACTAATAGAGTTATATGGAGTGCTGACAATGTCAAGTGCCTTTTTTATTTAAGAATGGTAGTAAATCACAATCCAACATTCAGATGAGTGAATTCTTGTATACACTGTAGGAATCTTATACTGTATGAATTCACAAAGAAAGAATAATTTGCTTGCTGTTTAAATGTCCACAAAAGTAAAAGTAAAAGTAAAAGCTTATGTGACACTTTATATGAATTGCTAACGAGTCAGATAGATTTGTTACTCTTTGTTCTGGGAGCCCAACTTATCGATTAACATCTAGATTAAACTTTGGGCAATATTGAATGATCTTGGTGACAATAAGAATGTATAATCATGTATGGGGCTCAAGTCTTAACAGCAGGCAGATGAGGACAAAGATATGAGCCATCCAAAAATTACAGTGATGGAACCATCGAGAAGTTTGCATGCTGACTTGGAAAAAGGTAGAATTCACCATGGTGAGGAACAGTGAGGTACCTTACTGCTTAACCGTATAAAAGAAAACACTACAGGGCTTAGCGTTTTTTATATAGACAAGAAGATGACCCGTGACCATGATCTTGGATATACAAGCAACTCCAGCAGGGCCCCTATTTAGGCTCCCATCCTACTTTTAGCACTGAGAGGGCAGAAACCTACTGCAGGTCTGCAGCATGACCTCAGCCCCCCAAAAGTAGCAGGCCCTCAAAATCATCCCTCAATCCCTCATTCCTGGCTCTGGAGGAGACCCCTACTTTTCAGTTTGTGGCCTTTCATCTCCCTCTCCTGTTCGCCGCTGCCGCTGCCGCCTCAGTCAGTCCCCGCCGGCTAGATTCGCCCTATTGGCCCCCGGCCGCCCTCCTTCATTGGTTCTTCAGTCCTCACGCACCCTCTTGCCCGAGCACCTCCCATTGCTGTGCATGCCCCTCCCTCCGGCTGCCTCCAATGTCCGTGCAGGCTACCACCGTTTGTGTTAGCCACCGCTGCCCATGCTTCCTCCCCTGATCGACCACACATTCTCCCCCGACTGCCTCCACTGACCACGACTGCATCCACTGACACAAAGCCCCTCCCCGTTGCCTAGGGCCCTTGCCTTGAGGTCCTCCACCCACTGAGCCTGCTGAACGAGAACCTGAGCGGGGACATTGGCACGACACCACGGCCATGGGGCTCCAGGCAGCATGCAGCAGGGATAGGAGTGTTGGCCAGGTAAGACAATCAAAGAGTGGGAAATTTTGTTCTGCCAGAGGGTAGCTTGGCCATAGGCCACTTATTGCATTATATAGCAAAAGCATACTTGGTTTACAAGAAAGAGTTCAACCACTACAGCATATTCTAGTGCATAAAGTAGATGCTACCTGGATGCTAAGGCAGCAGTTGTAAACAACATTAAGTGAATAGTAAATAGCTAAAAGTAGATAACTAGATACAAAGAGAGCAGCACTAGGCTTAACCCTCATTTCTCCCCCTAAGCCTTGTGCTCAGCCTTGGAGGTGATCTGCCTTAGCCCAATCCTCTCCCTCATGTCTTGGAACTTGGCCTTGCCCAGCGACTTGGTGAGGATATCAGTAGCTGATCAGTGGTTGGAATGTGGATGGCCTTGATGCATCCATCTTCCAGGCAGCTCCGGATGAAGTGATACTTGATCCTGATGTGTTTGCTTCTCTCATGGAAGGCTGGATTCTTGGCCAGAGCTAGAGAAGACTTGTTGTCCACCTTCAGCCCAACCACCTCGACATGCCTGCCGAGAAGCTCTCCCAACAGCCGTGACAGCCACAGAGCTTGAGTTGCTGCAGTGGTGGTGGCGATGTACTCGGCTTCACATCTTGATAGAGCCACCACCTTCTACTTGAGGGATTGCCAGCTGACCAACAGTTGCCGAGGAAGAACATGGTTCCGCTCGTGCTCTTGTTTGTGTCGATGTCGCCGGCGAGGTCACTGTCGCAGTAGCTGACGAAGCACGCTATGCCGGGCGCCCTGGTGTAGTGAAGACCCTAGTCGAGGGTGCCCGCCACATACCGAAGGATGCGCTTGACAGCCTGCTGATGCTCCACCGTGGGCCGCTCCATGAACCGGCTCACGAATACGACGACGAACGCCAAGTCCGACCGAGTGTGCACCAGGTAGCGCAAACTGCTGATGAGCTGCCGGTAGTGCGTGGGATCGACCTCCTCCGCCGTGCTGTGCCGACTGAGCCTCACCCGTTCCTCCATTGGAGTTTGGGCTGGATTGCAGCCAGCCATGCCGCTGAGCTCGAGGAATTTTGTTCTGCTGATGAGCTTTGATACCAATTGTTGCCCAGGTAAGACAATCAAAGAGTGGGGAATTTTGTTCTGCCAGAGGGCAGCTTGTCCATAGGCCGCTTATTGCATTATATAGCAAAAGCATACTTGGTTTACAAGAAAAAGTTCAACCACTACAGCATATTCTAGTGCATAAAGTAGATGCTACCTGGATGCTAAGGCATCAGCTGTAAACAGCATACATAGAGAGCAGCACTAGGCTTAACCCTCAAGGAGCAGGGGAATAAGAGATGGGAGAAAAAAAAATAAAAGAGTAAGAGCTGTGTGACTGACAGGTGCGTCCCAGAAAAGTAGGGGTGCAGCAGGGACAGGAGCAGGGGAATAAGAGATGGGAGAAAAAAATAAAAAAAGAATAAGAGCTATGTCACTGACAGTTGCGTCCCAGAAAAGTAGGTACCCTGATTTGTTTCTAGAGTTGAGACTAGAAAATTGGGCACCCAAAAGTAGAGGAAGCCTCCAAATCAAAAGTAGGGGCTATTGCTAGAGTTGCTCTTAACCATTGAAACTAATGGGTTTTGAGTTTCAGCAGGACTGAAGACTTCTTTAAAAAAATCAACATATTTATAGGCTTATCAATCTCTTGTTATTTTCAAACCATAGCTGCATTTATGATTATGCCATGAAAATTATTTCCTACCAGTATTTTTTATATTTCTTTTATGGAACTAAAAGGCTTGTTGTAGTGACAGAAATATCTAGTTTTATATTTTTGAAGCATACGTTTTGTTATTGATCCTGCTCTAGAGTTATAATTCTCAACATTTGAGGGAAAGAAATTAAGCCAAAGAAATAAATCACCTGGCCTACAAAATGGTATTGACTGTGGCTTTAGTGCATGGCTTTGTGTGTTTGATGTTTGGACATGTATATTGGGAGTTATTTGGAACGTTATAAAATTTTGCCCATTTTACTCATTCCACTGACAAGACAAAGAGTTTATAGTCAAGAGTGGAGTAAATGAAGATTTTGGACCTTCCACTTTACATTTTGGTTCCTTTTTTGCCTCTATTGTAAAGAGGACATGTTAATCTCGTAGTTCCTCTTGATGGTTTGACATGATGGGAAGCTATGTGGCTACTTTATTATCATATAACCATAATGCATATGCATGGTTCGTTATGCATAGGTAATCATAAAACCTTACTGCTAATGGAAGTATGTGACTAAGTTGAATCCTGTTTTAAAACTAAACTCACAAGTATAATGCATATTGTTCTAAACCTTACAAATTGTTAGCAGCCATCCAATCATATCATGCATCAGCCATGAAAGAGGCACGTGAGGAAACATAAGCAACTGCCACAACGTTGGTGAACTTTCAAACAGTGCTACTCTGCCCTTGGTGCTTTGAATGTCTTTTGCTGTCTAAGTGCTTTACCAATGGTTGGCTGTTGGTAGGTGGTAGCATGCCCATTTATCCTTCCAAACTTTTACCTATCCTAGCCTTTTTCCATGGTTCTTAATTCTTACTGCAAAAAAGGTCTCAGCATCTTCAACCATTTACTTTGAGTCATTTCTTAAAACGCCCTTGATGCTTGCAAAATGCATTGGAAAGAAGATGGTGAGCATATGTCTACATACAAACAAAGAGGCGAAGCTGCAAAAATATATTTGCTTTGCTAGAATCTAGATGTTTGGATTGGATGGGTATCAAAAACAGTTTTATCAAGTCGTCTGGTCGATCCTAGTTGCCATGGGACTGACTAGGCGACTAGTCGCGATTGTCACTAGTTAGCCTAGTGTTCATGTTTTCCAGTTACCTACTATAGCTATTTACTATTCACTGTCATGTAATTTTTCAGGTTCCTTGGCAACCAAGTTGATCATGGTGCCTTGGCAACCAAATAGGAATCATAGCATCTGCTTTATGCAGTTAGAATATGCTAAGGAGTAGGTACACCACTTGCCTATATATGCAGTGGTTAGCATCTTTTTGTATCTAAGTTGTTATTGCAATTCAATACAATCCAAGCGGCCTGTTGGCCAAGCTGCCCTCTGGCAGCCCCAGTTCTACTTGTGCCGAATTACCTGTGATCTGGTTATCTACGCCAACAGCGATTAGTCGTCAACCAGGGCGAGGTCAGTCCTAGTCATCCTATAAATGTCAGGAGTAATATACCAAATATATGCTAATTGGGCTGAGAAACATGCAGCCCATGTCCTAAGCTGCCCAGCAATTCCATTCTGTTCTGGTGGTCCAGCACCAGTCGTCCGACTAATCGTGATTAGTCAACGTCTAATCGGATGACCAGAAAACTAATTAGCCTAATCGAGTCGTAGCCCTTAGTTGAGTCCAGGATATTGACTAGGACGACTAATTGTGATTAATCAGACGACTTGATAACAATGATAAAAAACAATAATCTTATTGTGTAGGAATTCTACAAGTTGGTTCAGGCATCCAAATATCAGTTCAGGCATCCAAATATTACTATCTGATTTGGAGCATATATGTGTGCCAGGACCCACCTCCACAATGTGAGGTGATAGATATCTCTCAACCTTATATACTACATAGATTTAGTGAACTTAGCCGTCTTAAACAAATTACTCAGCTTCTCATTGTTGTGAAACCATTAATGGAACTTTCTAAACAAAAAGATGCTTAAAGTGGAGGGACCAAAATGTTGTTTTACTTTTGCAAATATTAATTAATATGTTTCTCAATGTAAAACAATAGATAGAAACAATCAGTCTTTATTAAATATGTTACACCATTCGTTATGAAGATGTAGCACTCGTAATGTATTTGACAAGTACTGTTGGTGCATGGGTCTCCTATAATTGATGTTAGCTGTTTGAGGAACCAGTGAGTAAAACGTCACTGGTCTAATCTGTGGAGTAATATCTGAGGTTAGGTAACTCATTCACCTCCTTCATGTCATTTTGCTAAGTAAAACAGAGATAAAGCTAGGCAAGAATAGTTCTGGAAACCACTAAATTTGTAGAAGCCATGCTTCATTTTATGTTTGGATGTGACAAACAGAAATATGAAATATCACATAGGAAGAGAGATATGAGTTGATCTCTTAGAAACTCATAGGTATGTTTCCCTGAAAATTTTAGATGGTTGATATTGTTAACTTTGAGCTTCATAGAACAATGAAACATATTTTAAATTAGTTTTGAACTTAGTGGCACTTTGTAATTTCGTTGCTTTTAACTAACGAAATTCAGGCATGGCCCGTGGTGGGGAGAATGTTTAATTTCTCAATTACTTTTGCATTCTTGATAATGTGATCTATGTGCCCCTTAAATAGTATATATTATTTTCTTACATGCCCGATTAATCACGATTACTGTCCAAGGCTACACTTTACAACTGTTCTTACCTTGTATAACATGACTATCATTTGGACTTGTTCTTTTTTAGCACAAATAGAACAAGTATATTGAGATAATTTTGGCTTTGTTACATTTTTTCTTATATTATTTTTGTTGGTTTACAAAGACACTAACTCTTACCTGTTAACTGTTACGATAAAATGATTTTAGACACTTTGGTAACTTTCTATTTTCGGTCCTTTTGCAGTTAAATATTTTTATCCTCGTCTTATTGATTGAAGCATTGTTGTTTTGGTTGTTAAATGTTACATTAATGCTTTTGGGCACTTCGGTCACCTTTGTTTTTATGGTCTTCTGCAGTTAAAGATTTTAATACTTGTCTTAACTAGCAAAGCACTATTATAACTAAATATTTTAGTTCTTCAGATGAATGATGCTATGCATCTGGAGAAGTTCGGTCACAATTTGAAGATGGACCTTCCAGTGAATGCACCAGCCACAGATAAATTGAAGCCTCAGAAACTGGAGTATTTTTTGATTCTTGATTTGGAGGGTAGGGTTGAAATTCTTGAGTTCCCGGTCGTGATGATTGATGCTCAAAGCACAGAATTTATTGATTCATTTCACAGGTATTATCTCATTTGTAATTACTGATAAGAGATTGCCACTGTTACTCGTGCTGTATATAACTTTTATATAAGTGATTATCACTATGCAGACCATATGCGAGGTTCGAAAGCTTGTAACATTATTCTCTCAATTGTTTTTGTATAAATGATTTGGTAGTATGATCTCAGTTTGTTCAAGAATGTAAGGTCCAAACTTAACGATTAATGCACATCCTCATATATATATTAGTCAGTCCACACCGTATTGTACACTTAAGTGGATTCTGATATTATTGCTGTACTTCTATTATTTTTTCTGAATTGGCGTCTCTCCTCTCTTGTATGTTGATAATAGGTTTGTGCGTCCAACTGCAATGAGTGAGCAAAGAACAACAGAATACATAGAAGGGAAATATGGAAAATTTGGGGTTGACCGGTATGTTTAGCATCTGTCACTATTATGTTGCTCTGTTCAGTGTGATTTATATGATTCAGAACAATTTCAACAAGTGGTACATCGACTTATTCTGTTATTGGTCAAGGAATTTTGTTTAAATTAGTTAACTTGGTTCACTTAAGAATTACTCCATCCTAGAATGATCTTAGTATTTGGTTTTGAAAAAATAAAATTCAAGATTGATCTCTTCATAACATTTGGAATCATGAGCAGACATTGGCTTTCGGCTGTAGTGAATGGCAGTCACATGATCCAATTAGCCTCAACTATGTGCATACATCTCTTTTCTCTCCTACAGCATGACCAATCATTTACTATGCTGTAGTAAATGGCTAGGAGAGAAAAGAGAGGTTGATAGGATCGGTGACCCTACCGTGGCTGCATAGTGCGTAGGGGTAGGAGATGGGAGGCCCCGGTGGCAGACGGGAGCCATGGTGGTGCTAGCGCAGGGCGGCGGCGCGGCTAGGGCGAGCGAGAGAGAGAGAGGGGCGTGTAGGTAAGGCCCTTGAGGCCAGGCAAAGATAATTGCCTTGCTTAATTTACTCAAACCAGTTTAGAGGCATATATCCACTCCTAACAAATCAATCTAGATCCTGATTTCTAGGAAATAAAAGGAAATATCTAAAAGGGAAATATCTCATCTCCTGGGCCGCCTGCCCCTACTGCTGGCACGGCCTCTAGCCACTGGTGTGAACCAGGTGCTGGTAGGTCACACCGGTCATAACAGAGGTATGCAAGCCTTCATTCTCCATTTACATTCCTCTCTTTTCTCTCTAGCCCACACAACTAGTCCATTAAATGGAGAATGATGGCTTTTCACTTCGCCATGGTATCTGGGTGAAACCAAATATGATGATCTTTGCTGGATGGATGGAGTATTGTCAGTTTAGCCATTGATTGTTGGGCTTGAGTACTTTTGTTTCTACCAATTGAGTTTTGAACTTCAGTTTGGTATTTTGTAAACTAAGATCTATTTTAATTGCAGGTTTTCTTTTCTATCTATACTAATATTAAAGAATCAAAATATCTCCCCCATTTTTTTTTCTCCAGGCCCACTCTCTGAGTCACGAATGCACGTACGCTCCCTAATCCCATGTTTGTTGCTGGTTCCATGCCCATGTCGGACACTTCGCCGCAACCTCCTTTCCCGTGTCATACAAATAACTTAAACAAAAATCAAATGCTCCAAATTGAATTGAAATGAATACAACAATGCTACAAATTGAATTGAATGTGGAAAATCACAAATCCAAGGACAAAGATTGCATCTTGGATCAGGTCCTTCCTAGAGTCTCGCCAATCCCTGAGGCCATGTGGCAACCGCCACACTCTAGCCTCCTGGAGAGGTTGCAGCCGCAAGGGGGGATGTGAGCCTGCACTCACCTTCATAGATCTGGGCCCATCCTCACTGATTTTAGGCTAGACCTGCTGTGGTCGCCGCGTATAGAGAGGAAGGAGACACATCGCTGCTCTCTCCCTACTGCCAGGTGTTGCCGCCATTACTGGTACAGGAAGAGAAGGGGGGCAAGCCAGCAACCATCACATTGATGATGAAGAGTCTTGCCCACAGATTGGAGCTGCCCCCACAAATATTTGGTGTCAGCGAAGCCATGGATGACCTGCAAGATCGGAGTAGGGCGAAGGTGATAGAGATCAGGATTGAACTTGGTTGACCGGAGGTGAAAAAGAGGAAGAAGAATAGCCTTACTTGGGTCTTGACTTCGCATGGAGGAGTTTAGGGCCACAGTGGAGCTCACCACTGGCGAAGACGAATTGGGTCAGCTCAGTTGTTTTTTTGAAAATAAATACAGCAGGGGAGGCCCCCACTGTTAGCATTTTATTAAAAGCAAAACAAAACAACTGTACAGTTGTGCAAAGAGCACAAGAAGGGGAAACTAAACAGGCAAGAAAATGAGGCCAGAGAGCTAAAAAACAAGAGCAGCCCGGGGGAAGACCCACCAACATCATCCCAGGGAGGCTAAAAAGACAAAAAGACCGAACATTTAGAGTCGCAAAATCTAACAGCTTGCATTTTAGCTTCATCTAAAAAAACTTTGCTTCCAGAAGTTGAAGGAAGAGCGGCCTCGATCAAAGATAAAGTTGTTCCTTTGCTTCCAAATTTGCCAAGCTCCTATGATGAAGATCTCCATGAAGGGACTTCGGAGATGCTGTTTAGCCTGAATTATCATCTCGAAGAAGTCAAATCCCATTGGATGCCAACAAGCTTGGCTGAAAGGGCATCCAAAGAAGAGGTGGAAGGCAGTTTCTTCCAAGTTACAATTACAAAGGACACAATTGTAGTTGTTCCCTTCCAGCTTGTGCGTTTTCCTTTTGATGATGTTTCTTGTATTTAGCCTATCCATTAGAAATCTGCGGGCACCTAGGCACCGAGTGTGGGCATCGTGTGCGCGGCTTCTAGCCATGTTGTGCCACGACGGTTGCCCCTCAGTCTTTGTTGCCGCACCTGCGGTACTTGCGCCCGCACATGACATCTCTCCCTGCCTGTGCAGACAGCTCGTCCTCGAGCTGGAACTTGGGGTAGAGCTGCTGGAAATCTGACAGCAGCATCCATGACGTGCTTGAAGCTCCCTGTCCTTTCCACTGCACTAGGACCTATTGAACTCCTCTTGCCAAACGACCTTTGAGCACTGACTCTGGCTCAGTGCACACACGGCCATGGCTGATTGCTGGCAGCTGCGGTTGTGTGGCCGGTGGTGTTCCCTTGAATGGCTTCGACAACCCGACAGTTCAATGCGATAGGCGACCTCCCCAATCTTTTCGTGGACCATGAAAGGACCGTAGAAGCGAGGCCCAAGCTTGCTGTGCCCTTTGTTGTCCATGGAAGCCAAAGGACGGTGTAAAAGGCGCAACCAAACTAAGTCCCCTACCTGAAAGTCCACTTCACGGTGCCTCTTGTCATACTGAGATTTGTGATGTTGGCCAAAATAGATCTCAGATTCAGATTTAGGAACTACCAGAGGGCAGCTTGGTCCTTGGCCGCTTGTTGGAATTGGAAATGCAATGACTTCAGTTCTTACAATAGTACTGCCCCTGCTTTTATAGGCAAAGGGCCTCTCTACTTGCTCCAGTATATTCTAACCACTAAAGTGAATGCTGCGCATATTTCTATTATAAGGTTTGGAAGCCAAGGAAAGTAAATTGCAGAAAAGTAAGATACAAGTGCTTTGACACTAGGCTTGTCTATCAATTCTCCCCTTAAGCCTTGTGCCGAGCACTTGTGGTGATCTGTTGTAGCCCAATGCTCTCCCTCATTTCCTGGAATTTGGACTTTCCCAGTGACTTGGTGAGAATTTCAGCCAGCTGATCAGTAGTGGCAATGTCGCTGGCCTTGATGCTCCCATCCTCCAAGCAATCCCTGATGAAGTGATACTTGATGCGGATGTGCTTGCTTCTTTCATGGAAGACAGGGTTCTTGGCTAGAGCCAGGGCGGACTTGCTGTCCACCTTCAGCTTAACCACATCCACCTTCCAGCCAAGGAGCTCTGCTAGCATCCTTGACAACCATAGCGTGTGAGTTGCTGCAGTGGTGGTGGCGATGTACTCCGCTTCATAGCTTGAGAGGGGCCACCACCTTCTGCTTGAGGGACTGCCAGCTGATCAAGCAATCACCGAGGAAGAACATGGTCCCGGTTGTGCTCTTGCTGGTGTCCACGTCGCCGGCGAGGTCGCTGTCGCAGTAGCCGACGAAGCACACTGTGTTGGGGGCCCTGCCGTAGTGAAGACCGTAGTTGAGGGTGCCCGCCACGTAGCGTAGGATGCGCTTGACAGCCTGCAGATGCTCCATCGTCGATGACTCCATGAACCGGCTCACATACCCGACGGCGAACGCAAGGTCCGGCCGGGTATGGACCAGGTAGCATAAGCTCCCGATCAGCCGCCGGTAGTTAGTCGGATCAAGCTCCTCCGCCGTGCTGTCCCGACTTAGCTTGAGCTTCTTCTCCATTGGGGTGTAGGCCGAATTGTAGCCTGTCATGCCATCGAGTTCGAGGATGCGTTTGGCGTAGTGGGTTTGGCGGAGGGCGATCCTGCTGGCGTCCTGGCGCACTTCGACGCCGAGGTAGAAGCAGAGGAGGCCGAGGTCGCTCATGTCGAACGCCTTCTTCATCTGCGCCTTGAACGGCTCCACCTTCTGCTCTTCAGTGCCGGTGATGATGAGGTCGCCGACATAGACGCCAACTAGTAGGACATAGCGTCTGCTGCCCCGCCGGTACACCGCCGCCTCGTGTGCGCTCTGCTTGAAGCCCATCTTCTTGAGCGTGGCTTCGAGCTTCGCGTTCCAAGCACACGATGCTTGCCGCAGGCCGTATTGGGCCTTGCAAAAGCGGTACACCTTGCCTTCTTCTCCGGCGACGTACACCTCCTTGAGATTGCTGTTGAGAAAGGCGGACCTAACGTCCATGTGGTGGACTTGCCACCCCTCTTGAGCCGCCAGCGCTAGGACACAGACTGACTCCATGCGCACCACAGGGGCGAAGGCGTCGTCGTAGTCGATCCCCTCTTGCTGGACGAAGCCGCGCGCCAGAAGCCGCGCCTTGTGCTTGATCACCGCGCCCTGGTCGTCCTTCTTGAGCTTGAACACCAATTTCAGGGTGATGGGGCTGTGGCCGTCAGGCAATGGCACCAACTCCCAGGTGTGGTTTTGCCCGACGGACTTGAGCTCCTGCTCCATCGCCGCCCGCCAGGTGTGGTTTTGCCCGACGGACTTGAGCTCCTGCTCCATCGCCGCCCGCCATGCCGGATCACCTTGTGCCTCAGCATAAGTGGTCAGCTCACCGGCGTGCGTCAGATGAAGCTGGGCGAAGAGCCGCTCTGCCTGGTCTAGTGAAAGACTGGTCGTCGAGGATGTTCGCCACTGTGCGGTACCGGAGGGGCTCATCGTCGTAGTAGGCGTCCAGGCGGTCTTCATCGTCCTCCAGCGGCGGCGTCGCGTACTTGATCTTCGGCTGCCCTGCGTACGC